CCATCATAATAAGTTCTTTTTGAAGAGTATCTTTGACATGTTGAATAAGTATTAATTAATTGCTAATAAGAAAGTAGTCATCTGCATAGAATATAAAGATAGTAAATCCCTTCTCATTGCCTCTTTGTGTATAAATATTTGCATGAACCTCTAATATTGTAAATCCATAAAAAAAACAAGAATTTTTAAATACGTTGAAACCATTGTTTGAAAGCTTGGATTTTTATAAATTCTAATTTAAGATCTTTTGTGATATAATATAATCTTAAGTTGTCTACTTTATTACTTAGAAAAAAAAAAAGAAAAAAAAGAAAAAAAATCACATAAATAAATTTCTCTCTTTTATATATTTATACTAAAAAATTGAAAAAATTAAATAAGGAATAAAAAATAAAAATTTGAGATATTAAACAATATAAGATTATGTCTTTTCAGATTTTTCCATTCAAATTGACTCTAAATTTCTTTTTTAAAATCTACAATAAAATTTTAGAAGACTTATTAAAATTATTATTTAATATTTCTTTTGGACAAAAGACTATTAGACCTTTTATTTTCAATATACATAAATCAATTATTAATTTTTTTAAAATTTTAAAAAATAACTATTAATTTATTCTTTTAACAAATATTTGGTAGAAATATTATTTAACCTCTTTAATATGTCATAGTAAGCCTTTATAATATCACTAATATATTCATATATATCTATATCTATATATCTATATTTATATATATATATATATATATATATATATATATATGCATTCTTCTATAAACCAAGTATCTATTTGTAAATTTTACCTCATGCAAGCCATAAAAAATTTAATGTTTTTAAAAAACTAAAAAAAAAACTCTAAATATCCGCAAAAATAAAAATAATAATAATATATATATATATATATATGTATATATATATATATATATATATATATATATATATATATATATATATATATATATGTGTGTAAAATACTATTCAAAATTATAAAATAAAAGTGTAATAATAAATAATATAATTTAAAAAAATAAAATGTCCTTAAATTTTGTATACATCTAGCACAACCTACAAATCAATGATAAAAAAAATACATTTTCTGATAAAATTTATAAAATAATATTTTTATAAAATTAATTAATTTAAAACTTTATTATATTTATATTGCAAAAAAAAAATTAATTAAAAATAAGTGTAAAATAATATGAAATTTACAAATAAAAACAAGTCTAAGAAATTTGATATCAATATAATTATTTGAAAACTAAAAAAATTAAATACATAAAATCAAATTATTATTATTCTTTTTATTATAATTTTTATTTTATTTTTGTAAAAATAAAACTTTATAAAGGAAAACTGGATATTCAATACAAGAAGAATAATCCAAGATATATAAACCATTTTATAGTTATATAAAATTTAATTAATAATTACCATATATTATAAGAAGATACTATATATAAAAAACTAAAATTTTATAGGAAAAAATTAAATCTTAATCTTATACTGAAAAGTTACTTAATTAATCCGAAATTCTAATTCAAAATTGAATACTTGAAAATGATACATCTTATATTTTAAAACAGTATCATAAAATGTTAGTGTAAAGTAATACTACATGTCTGGTGTAACAAATTGAATAAAAGAAAAATTATTATTTATTTACAATGAAAACATTCATGCTAAATATGTTTGTATTGATTTTCAAAATAGAGTTATGATACTTATCTTTCCAATTAAAATTATCATTTTATTTAAAAAAAAAAGCTAAGACAATTCTTTTGTTATAGTTTATTCTTTTACTTCTTCATTAAATGCACAAAATTTTTAATTTTCTTTTTCTTTTTATATGCATTTATATTGTAATGAAAAATACATTGCTAGTCAGGTTTAAAATTTCTATATGACTTGTATTATTTTACGACAAAATATAATATTTTATAATTATTTAAATAAATATAAAATAGATTTTATTGAATTTAGTTTAAATTCTACATGTCAATATTTTTAATTTTAAAGCATTCTTAGATTTTTTTAATTTTTTTTTGTAAACATAAATAAATATTAAAATTTTATGAGTCTTTATTCCTAATACTATTTTTGACTAACTTAATTTTATTTTTAAATTTCGTTCAACATTAAAAGCTTTAAGCATTTTACAAAAATTATGGTTATGTTCTTTTGTTTGTATGTATATAAATTTTAATCTAATAATTTGATAATAAAAACACATTATATGAAAGTAAATTTTAATGTCAATTTATTTTTTTGTCTTCTTTAGATATATAATTTTTAAATTTAGAATCTTTTTTTCAGTTATATATATATATATATATATATATATATATATACATGGCTTTTTTAATTAAAATTTAATATTCTTTGTTTATGTACATTGCTACAAAAGTAAAATGAGACAATAGAAAGAATAAAATAATAATCTTCCATACTACACTTTCTTCTTTAAAGTTATCATTGGTGGCTTAAACTTGGCTAACAAAAAAAAGATAGAAAAGAGATAAAACTACAGATAATTTTATATCTAATTTTATTGCAAAATAAAATAAAGATCATTATGCTCTTGGAGATCTTAATGCTTGGATTGACTTTGGTTGATCTTAATTTTGGCATTGATGCTATAGAACAAAAAGCATATATATATTAGCAACTTATGAAGTTACTATTGATACATTTAATTGTATCTTTTTACAGGAAGTTAAAAACTCTTTAAAGCCTATCTAATTGCAAACATAAATGATGCATTTATTGAAAGATTTTTATTGTGAGCAAATTCATCTAGAGAAATGTATATGTGATTGATTTGGCAACCTATGATGAAATGACTATTACCAAGTAATTAAACTATAGTTGATTATTTTATATATGCATCAAGCTTAAAAATCCAAAAATAAAAAATCCTCATTGACAAAAAGATATAAAGAAAAGAAAAGAATAAAATATACATTTCAGTTCTACTTTTAAACTATTTACTGTCACATTTTGATTATTTCTCTCTACTTCACATCCAAAAATAAAACTTATAATTCTCACAATTATAAAAGAAATTTATTTGATTTTTGACTTTACTTTGACTTAGTTATGATGTATGTTTGGCACTCATATAAGAAGGTTTAACCAACCATTCAATCTACTTACAAAGAAGGTCAAGTTTTCTTGTTGACCCAGTTGATAGCAAGTCAAGAATTAAACTTTTTTCCTTCTCTCTTAGCAACTGTTATCTCCCATTATCTCTATTATCTATTATTCTCTATTACCAACTATTATCATGATGCACGAGCACAACAACAAAGTAGACCCATTAAGCATCAAAATAAATAAATACATAAATGAAGCAAGAATCCACACTTTCTTGAAGTGAGCAGCATTTAGTTGGATGAGTTCCAGGCCAAAGGCAGGCAGCCAAAATGATTACAGTAGAACCTCCTCCCCTTCAACACCACCCCCATAACACCAATGCTTAACAAACTTCAAACAAAGTTTCATAAAATAATAATTATAAAAGAATAATAAGGGAAGAAAATTAGAACAAACGAACGAATAAGGGAAGGAGGATGGGGAGCAGTTGATTGAGAGGAAGTGTGTGTGAGAGTGTGAGTGTGAGTGTGTGTGTATATTGCAACACTTGTGCAAGCTTCATGATGCCTCACTATCATTTGCTGCCTACTCTCTTGCTCTCTCTCTTTATTTGTCTTTGGAATCTTGTAGTTCAGAACTCGTGGCAGCACCTGCCGTAGCCGAGAGGAGAAGTAGAAGGAGATGGATAAGAAGGAGAAGAAGCAGCAGCAGCAGTCGTAGCAGCAGCATCAGAAGATTCCCTCCACTGATCCATCCTCCATCGTACATGTGTTGCACTCACACATTTGTAGGGTTCCCTAACTTGCAACAGGTGGCGATGGTGATGGTGTTGCTGGTGTTGGTAGAAGGATGGAAGCAAGCAAGCAAGGAAGCAAGCTAGGAAGGTGGCCGATCAACCACCTCTTCTCTTCTGCTCACCCTGCAATCCAAACTCTTCGTCGTCGTCGTCGTCTATCCAGCATTCTTCCTCCTTTTGCTCATCAACCCGACCTTTCTTGGCACTCTTCTCTCAAATTCTACCTTCCCCACAGTACCTGTTCTGGAGCTCAATGCTTTGAATCTCCTCCATTTTTTTCTTTCATTCTTTCTTTTTACTTCTTCTTTGCATTGCTTCTCTGACTATATTAGGTCAGCGGTTGCTGCAACTTGAAACATGGGTTACATCACGCATTTCAGGAGAAGTTGCTTTCGGAGTTCCACTCATTAGTTGTAGAGAATGAGCTGGAAATCACTCTCATGTAAAGATACATATATACAATGGTCCACTGAACCTTTTCTTTTCATCTGTTTCTAGTGTGACAATTAAACTTAATGAGTCGAGCATCGAACTGAATTTGCTTCTACGATTCGTGAGGAGAATGTACGAGAGAATGTTGAAGTCGTACGGCCCATTATATAGGTACCCAGCTTTGGGAATTTGGATGGAGGTAACAAAGGGGACTCAGTAGGTTGAGGGACGTCCAAAGGTTCTGTTCATTGGACTGGGAGTAGTTGGCACCGTGGGCTAGCAGGAGTAAGAATGCCCGCAGACTTAGGCGGACTGTGAAACCCACCGTTCGCGACGCGCACTCGGTTGTCTCGGAATTCAGGATCACCACCTGTAACGAGATCAATCTGACACGTTCAGGACAGCACAACACAATTCACCCATCAGACACACTCGGCGATAAACGGAAAATTAACCGGCTTGGCATGGACTTCATGTTCCAACGTTCAAGTGGAGTCACGACACGTTTCGCAGATTTTTACTGGGGCCCATGCCGTAAAACGCATGTTGAGTTTTGTGTACATCTGCTGACTGTGACGCATAATTCGAGAGCCAGGCGACGAAGACGGATCCCACCCTAAAGAAAAGCTTCTCTGACCTGCTGTAGACGCTTATAGAAAGTTTGATAGCCCTCACCCTAATTATATAGGCGTTAATTGATTTACGCCACTCCAAGTGTGCTTCAGTGAGTGGATTTATTTCCGCAAGCTTCGCTGCCTTAAAGGTCTAAGAGCATTTGTCAACCAGTTTCTGCGCATCGTGCATGGCTATCGTTGTGGATGTCCACTTTGTATTGGACTTTCAAATGGGTTCGCGTAGCAATAGGTTTTTTGGGCCATAGGGCGAGGTGATTAGTTCTGACGACTATACGTAGAATTTGTTTGCTGCCGACACAATGTCTATGGTGGAAAAAGGTTAATCATTAAGTTAATTCTGCTCGCCCGAATCAGCTTTAATCGCAGGAATTATGAGTTTTAACCGACCACTTTCGTCAACAGGGTTGAGGTGATCCAGATCCCTTGATTTATACTGCAACTGTTGACTGCTGATTACTGTGGGATCCTTCTTTGAACTTTACTTCAGCGGTTGCTAGGTGCCTGGAAGAGCTGCGTTGTTGAAAATTTCCATCGAAGAGGTTGAAGTCGTTTGCTTTTCAAGTGTCGCCTCTCGTAAACAACCGCTGTTTTTGCGCGATCCAGGCAGTGTAATCAGAGATTCGAAATTCCCCACATGTTTCTTCTCTGTTCTTTCGTATCTTTCATTTATTTCACTGTTTATTCAATTATTCCAGAAGATGATGAATGCAAACTAGTCACCAGGAAAGAGTACATTCGAGTGGGTGAGTCTTCCGAGCGTCAAGCCGTCAGTTTTGAGGCTTGTAAACGACTACTTCTAACTAGAAACAACCTGTGACAAGTGTGCTGAAATCGGTGTCGTTTTAGCTTAAGCCTGTTGCACCTGGACAGTGGAGTCTTACATGCAACCCTACGAATGACGAGTTATTTAACATTAACAACTCGTATGCATCTAGAGTGCTGTCACAATGGCTGCGGAGTGAGGATAACTTATTGGAGTTGCATTTGTTTCTTAAGAACGTGTCTTATAGTCCAGTAGGCCTCTTGAGTAATTTGTTGACCTGGGTTTTGATCTTCTCGAAACCGACCCTCTTTATGGATGCCACGGGCGCCAATGACACTTGGATCTGTCATTTAGCTCGACAGGTGGCGTCGAGGATATACAGAATAAGCTTCACTGCACTTTTAAGCCGGTCGGGAGGGACGTGGCAGTGAAGCCGTGGCAGATGCTGAGCATTGAATCCAGTTATTGGAAGAGCAATGTGGCATACCTCACACATTTGTCGTAGAAAGTTGAGAGCTTCGTAAAAGCCCAAAATGTTTGTAGAGATGGTGGTAGTGATCGAAGACTGCCTGAAGTTGTCTGTAGTGCCTTAGTTCGACGTCCTCCTTTTTCGTTGAGATAGCAATCATAGACATGGAGAGCTCTGCGAAAGTCTGAAAGAGGGAGATTCAAAACATGCGTGAACCAGAGGATTAATTCTGTGGATTAGTGAGGTTCTAAAGTTCTCAGGTATGCATCTTCACGTGAAACATCAGCTTTGATCTAAATTCTTTGCTACAACTTTATTCTCCAACCGTTGGTGTGTTTCTAGAGGCGGAAGAATTTAATCATTGATCTTCATGTTTTAGGGAGGTTAATGTTGTCCTTGCGACCGTTACTTCTTATCTTTTCTCTTTTTCCTTCCTCTTAGTATCATTTTAGTCTTCTGTCGATGAGGCTCACCACCAACTTCTGACGGTTAGGATATGTGTATTTGTGCTCAAAACAGAAGTACTGGTTGAACATTGGACTTGGGTTGGCGGGTGAAACGGAGGTGTAGTTAGAGTGATGCGTGAAGCAAGTGTAGATGTATGAAGCTAGTCGAAGTTGCTGATCTAGCAAAATGAGGGAATGCTTTTCTGTGCAAAAAGTAGCAGCGAGTTTATTGTGTACTTATTTCCAAGATAGTGGAATTTGTTGCACTTCTGCAAAAAATGGTCAGATGTAGAGACAATCATTTGTGGTGTGCGCAGGGGTTTAATGCTCTCGTATCCCTCTTGTTCAGGCTTCAATAAATTTTCGAAGTAGATTCGAGAGACAACCGGTTTGATTCTTGATTGATATCGCTACAAACACAAATACCTGAGAGGGAGAATCCGTCGCCACTTCTTGTCCTTGGAGATACGTATTCCATTCGACTGCGGCAAAAGAAGGGAATTAGGTAGTGTGAATGACGTTCCTTCGGTGGGGGACGAAAGAATGGAAGGCTCGAAGTACTAAAATTTGAATAATCAGCCACGCTCAGAGATACTGGCATGCTATCCGAGCATCTGCTGCAGGACTCTGCAACTTAGGGAGGAGGTGTTAAAGTAGCGAGAACATCTTTCCAGCGTTTGAGAGGGGGCTTACCGTTCAGCGATTTTCATTCAGGGGAGTAATCTTTGCTAAGAAAGGCTGTGACCCAATGGATTCTGTGATGGGGAACAATTCAGCTCATCCCAGCTTTAGAGAAGAAAGTGTAAGACCGTCTCTCATGCGCACTGACTCCATGAGCAGTGACAACTCAATTGATGCTGAAAACCTTGTTGATATCCCAGTCTCACCGAGTATGATGGTAAGCCCTCTGCACTTTAGCTGTAAGTGCCTTATAGTCGTGTGGATAATTAGGGTCGACTCGCAGGTTCGCTAGGTGGGTAACTAGGGTCAAGTATTTGCTGTTCCGCAGGACTTACTTCATGTTCTGTCAGGATTCAGCAGCTGTGTTGTTGGTAGTTGGTCGACTGTTTTGTAGGTATTCTCGTACACGAGAAACATCTTTTAGCGTGGATGTAAATCATGGCGGTTTGAATTCCTCAGGCTGCCATGCTTTTAAATGTCTTGTATTGATTGGCACCTATTTAGGCTTTCAGGAAGTGTAGGTGGTCAGAATTAGCATGGTTCACGATGGTGGAACTTTTATCGTGTACTGATTTTGGCATAACGCACTGAATCATGTTCCGCTGCTTCTCAAATCCAGCTATACCCAGAAAGTCTGCCTCAAATGAATCCCGACGAGCAGTTGGAGAACGAACTCAAAAAACATGATCGGAAACGATTGAGAAAGAAATGGAAAGGTGATGCACAACGAGTTGCAAACAAGCTTTCATCAGTTATCAAGAAACGCGGTCATAAAAATGGTGGTGACAGTTCGCCTTCCTTCTCGGATTCCAGGTCTTCATCTGCCATCCAAAAAAGGCTATTGTCTTCTTGTTGATGCATTTGGATTTCAAATTGTTCTAGACTTTGCGAAGAAGAAGATCTAATCTGCTTTTTGAATTGTACATGGGTTGGATGTCTACATTATGATTTAGATGATTAGGAGCTTTCAATGTGTTCGATAAATTATCTTTTGATCCTGACTCCTGTTAATTGACATCAGAAAGTACGTCTTTAGTCCTTCTTTCTTTCTTATTGACCTAATTCGACGAGCGGGTTGAATATGACTTCGAATTGGAATTGTTGGGATCGATTGCAATGTATTCTTCCATCTAAGTAGCATCATAACTTTGGAACATAATAGACATTTGTATTTCTGTAATAATTTGAAATGCCTTAACGGAATGTCAAGCTTGGAATTATCTATCACTTTACGCTCAAGAAGTGTCAGAGGCTGACAAACCCGTATGCAGGTCTACCGGGATAGATTCATTCCGAAGCCGAGATGGCCAAAGCTCGAGCGAGGTGAGCTGCGCCGATGACGATGAATTCATCCCTCTCTCGTTTTTTGACGATGATGGTAGAAACGTAGGATCATCTCCAGAAGACTTTCCGCCGCCATTACCAGGAGGAGTGGTTCTGGATCAGAAATATGCCATAAGTGCTAAGGCAATGAATGCGATTATATTCAAGCCAGGATCAGAATTTGTGCGGGATTTACTCCAGATTCAGAAGACCACTGATTATGTGGAAGAGCCGTGGAAGAAAGTAGGAAACGAGCCCATCAAAAGGTCCATCACCTACATGAGAGCTGCATCCAAGCTGGTAAAAGCAGTCAAAGCATATGAGACCCAAACATATCAGCGAGCTGACGACAAAGGATTTTGTATTCTAATCTCAAGCTCTACGCCTGATGTGCCCTATGGAGGGAGTTTTATAGTTGAAATGCAGGTAATGCTCATCATTTGCATATAAACTAAATTAGAATTTAACTGCATTGTGACTGTAATGTTGAATGTCCCTTTCTCTGTTTAATCTTTTTCAGTTATAATTTCTTGAGTTAAATCGTGAATGAGTTCCACGGAACGGAAGATAAGTTCAAAATTGTAGAAACTTATGAAAACCCTTACAATCCAAAGGGTCTGCAATTCAGGATGCCCCCTCATGTACATATTTCACGAGATAGCTGAGAATTATCTTACTTCATTTCTTGTGTAAGCTTACAGGTTTTGTGGGTTAAATCGAAACTTGCGTCTCATAGACAAGCTTGTAGTAACTTTCATGCCTCTTTTTCCCAGACGTAAGCTTTGTCTCTTACTACTCGACAGGCAGTTATTGTGGGGCTTCCCGACACAGCAAGTGGTGAAAAATGCTGTCAGCTGCGAATATCATGGAGACTTAATTTTCTGCACAGTACGATGATGAAGGGGATGATCGAAAGTGGTGCAAGGAATGGAATAAGAGACAGTTTTGTTGTTTATCGCGAGGTATCAATAGCATTCATAAACTTGTAGCTGTCACTATTTACATTATCGTTTCCTGAGCTTCCGTTGAGTAATCTCCATATTAGAAGCCCGCATAATGAAATGTTTCAAACTTACATTTTGTTCTGCACTCAGGAATGATTCTTTAATTGAATATAGGTTCTCTGTGTTTGGCAAACAATATTCGAGATCATTTTTAAGATACTAACTTCATCTTTTTGTTATTTAGGTTCTCTCGAGGCATGCCACTCCTCTTTCATCCAGTAAAGAATTACCTTCTGGTGGTGACGATGAGATACTCATCAGTGACTGGGAAATCGCGTGGGATTACTTTAAGAAATGGCATGTGCTCTTTGCATTAGTGTCTTTGATTATCATCTTGGTTCACATTGCTCTCGCTCCCCCCAAAAAAAAATGTGGACTTGAATTTTGGATAATCCATTTTCCCGATTCCTTGATGGAGCTGATTATGTCAGCGGTGGTTGTGATTCAAGTCGAGCGTTTAGCCATCATGATCTACTATTTTGTTCGGGCTCGCTACTGGCAATGTAAGTTCCATTGATGACTATAGAATCAATGATATCAGTTGTATGATTTGTGTCTATATTATTCCTATTGGTGCCTTTACTAATTGATGTTCAACAACTTCAAATTGTCCACTGTAGACATTGTACAATCTTAAGCTGATGCAGACATTGAACCTACGCAGGCTTTTGACGACACAAGGTCTAACAACTTCAATATTTTGGTTATTGATGCAGCTGGAGACCATGGAGTGAAAGCTCAGGGGGACGGGTGGTTAACATCAGTTACCCTGGTAGAAGGAGTAAACATTGCTCTCCCTGATTCTGGCACTCCTAGTCCATATGTAATATTTAGGTGCAATGGGAAAAGTCGAACCAGCTCGGTAAAATTGCGAACTTCGAACCCAGCTTGGCGCGGTGAGCAATTATAACCAATCTCATTGTTTGTGAACACTTAACGAAATATGAAGGTCTTTAATGAAAGAAGAAAACGAAACTAAAGCTGTGGTCTGATTTCTTTGTTTTCTGCAGAGATTTTTGAGTTCAATGCGTCTGATAATCCACCCACAACCATGGACATTGAGGTCTTCGATTATGATGGTCCATTTTCGGAAGCAGAATCACTTGGTTATGCCGAAATAAACTTTTTGAAACAAAGTGCAGGGAAGTTAGCGGACTTCTGGCTCCCTTTAGAAGGAAATAGTGCTCGGGCAAATGGAGCAAAATTGCATTTACGAGTATTTCTGTCCAACACCAGAGATACTGATGCTTTACCTGAGTACCTTGAACGGGTTGAACGAGAAGTTGGTTTGAAGGTACTTCTAAACAATTTCTCAATTAAGAGTACAGTGAAGTTCACCAGTTTGGTATTGTCGCTCATTCGTATCTTACTGTGTTATCCATGTGAATATTTTTCATCTAGTTGACTGCCTGATGTGATCTTCGGGCGGTGGTTTTTGATCTGACAATTTTAAATATTTGTTTAGAATTGAGTCGGGCTGACATTAGATTCTAGTCTTTTGTTTGTGTTCTAGAGTTTGCCAAAACCATATCCATGCTCACTCCTGGTCTTGATGGATTTACCATTTACAAAATTTCCCGGACAAGCGGGGAACTGATGATTGTGTGCTAATTTCGTGGTTTCTTATTTATGAATCGTTGGATAGTGCAGGTCAGGAAGCGTTCCGCTCAAAAGAACAATTCTTTTCAGAAGCTCTTCTCGTTACCTGCAGAAGAGTTTTTATTCAATGATTTTGCTTGTGCAATCAAGAGGAAGATACCAATTCAGGTACTAATGTTGGTCCAGAATTAGTAAGATATTGTGCATGAATTATGAGATCACAAGAAGTTGAGTTTTATGTTACCTGGGTAACTCCAGTTATTGTTTTGCTTCATTGGCAAGTTTATATATCAACTTCGAATAGTGAAGTGGTTTCACCATTTATATTCTAATTCGAATCAGTTGTCTTGCTGGACTGTAATATCTTCTGCAACAGGGCCGTTTGTTCCTGTCGCCCCGTCTGTTAGGATTCTACTCAAACTTGTTTGGTCATAAGACCAAGTTCACTCTTCTTTGGGAGGAAATCGAAGAGATCAAGGAGATAGCCCAATCTATCAATCCCTCAATTGTTGTGTTTTTGCGAAAAGGTCGTGGCTTCGATGCCCGACATGGCGCACGCGGTATTGACGGAATGGGTCGCTTGAAGTTCCAATTCCTATCATTTGTGCGTTCTGGGACTGCTTTCAGGTATGTTACGCGATTTGGAGACTACTTGGATGAGTAATGGAGGGTTTGGAAATTGTGTTAGTTGTATGTAATGAAATGTAGAGACATCTCTTTACTTTGTTTTAAACCTTGGCTTTTCTTTCATGTCGCTGGAGTTTTAGAGTTTGATCAGCTGTTGCGTGTGGGACCCTTTTAGTGGTGATTGTTGAATTTTTTACAGTCATGAACTTTCTTGCAAGTTGATACAATTATGCAAATTTCCAGATTAAGTTTGCAGATATGAAACTCGCAACGTGTACTCTTTAGTTGAGCATAAGATCTGGGTCAGCAGTTCAAATCCTCATTCGCAAACCATAAATTGTAGGATTCACAGACAAAGATTCTGATTTGGTACTCATGCGCTGGATCCCAGAGCCATTGTTGCGTTGTGGAAGAACAGAAATTTGAGTTTAGAACAGAAAATGGACATCATAGCAAATGTAGAAGCTGGCGACATGAAGTACTCTGTGGCAGAGCGACAAGCGGATGATCGTCAGCCTTTCCTGGGGATTGAAGATGCCTCTATGTCAGAGGTGGTTCACATGGAAATTCCCATTACTGTAAGCTATTTCTAGCTCATCAACTTCGAACAAGATAGTGGTTATGTATATTAGTGGACGAGTACAAGTTCATAAGTGGACGAGTGCTACATGACGCCATCCTGCACCTGTCTTACAAGCAAAGATGTTACTGTTCTCCCATTTATATTGAAATTCCTAAGCTGTAGTACTTTCATTGTGTATGTATGTAAAAGAAAATTTAATCAGTATACAAAGCAGGAGAAAAAGAAGAAGAAGAAGAAGGTGGAATAGTCAGACATTGTAACCATAACAAACATGGACTTTTGAATCTTGGAAATTATTAATAGAATAACCTTATGACTGGGAGTACTCGTAGAAAAGTTCATTTTAATGATAGAGAAGTGTATCCTCCCGGTTAGAACTTGGACTAACCATTTGTCGCTGAGTACTTGCTTGATCGAGCGGGGTTCTTTTCTGACTTTTTATCACTTTGTGGCAGGTTGAGAGTGTGCACGCAGTTATCCTGGATGAAAAAATGGATCGCGCTATAAGTGAGAAACTTGGTCTCTCGGACTACGAGAGCTCTCCATGGGAGATTGTTGATAAGAAGGCTCAGCTTGAAATTCGGCGTCGTCATCGTAGTTACAAACTTAATCGTCTTATCACCCAATTTGGGAGCAAAATATCTTGTGTTCAGCAGAAAAGTCTTTCCGTTAACTCAAAGAAATTGGTCATCAACGAGATACTGACACTTCATGATGTGCCATTCGGTGATCATTTTCAAGTAAGCCTTTCTTTCTCCCTAGATTTCGTTCTATTTACAATGTCTGGATTGCATGTCTATCATCCAGAGTTGTGATGAGAACTAATTTCCGTGACTAACGAGAGATCTCACGTTGGCTTCGCACCTCTGATTATGATTCGTAGATACAAACTCGTATGGAATTTGAGACTCTATCTATGGAACCAATCACCACACACTTCAAGGCTTTTGTTGGGGTTGCATGGCAGAAGGCCACCGAGTTGGATCAACGGAAGATGACAAAGAACATATATGAGCACATCACAAACCAGTATCAGGCTCTTGTAGAGTTCATTGTTGAGGAAGTTCAACAAGGGAATTCTCCTCGGAACCCCCCCATGAACGATGATTCTAAAAGAATTAATGGAGTTTGAAACTGAACTATTTCATACCTGACAGTGGCTTTTCAGACGCAAGTGACACGCGTGTTGAGAGACGCTGCAACTGGCGTGGTAATTATGGAAGTGCTTAGGCGCAACGTATGTGGATGTCTTCAAGCTTTATGAACAAATTCGGCACTTCATGTAAAGGTTAAAATTTAGAATGCGGTTGAAGAACACGAAATGTTGCCTCCCCTGGTAATTAGTCTTTTTAGTGCAGTCAAATAGTGCATTGACTAGAACCTTTGAAAGGACTCTTGGGTTTGTACCATACTGTAGGGATTGTTTATTCGGTCAGTTTTATGAAATTATGCGGTCCTCCAGGGTCCTGAAACATTACACTCCATTGTTAAGTTCAAAGTACAACTCGGTATATTTTTCTTTCTTCAGTCAAAAATTGTGCAACAGAGAAACATTTTATCATCAGCGTTTGTTCCATGCAAGTATTAGTCGAATTCGTACACATTCTTCAGATCATTTTAACGTATATTTGCGAACTCGATTTAATCTTGAACATCAAAACTTAGACCCTCACTATAGAAGAACAGCATGGAGATGTGTAACATGAGATCAAGTTGCTGTAAAGTTGAAGCTACTTCTTTGACCTCATATCAAATGTCAGCTTCAAACTGTTACATGAACAGCCTAAGTTTGACCAGTTCTAACACTCAAGTACACTCGTTACAAAACATTTCAAAATGCAAGTGCATAATTCTGAAACCCAACTCAGAATTGAAACTCAGAGATCCATTGCTTTGAAAGTGATAGAATTCCAAACTTATGGAGTTTCTAATAATACGACTTGCTTAATCTTGCTTGTTGAATGCAAGGCTCGAAGCTTCCATTAAACAAGATGTAGCTATATACATTCAACCTAAGACGAAACCAGCCATATCCCAGAACTTAAGCTCCAGCTCCAAAACCCGCACACAGGCCTGAAATAACATTTATGACCACAGTCAGCAACTGCGAGCACCCGTCCGATACATTGAAATCTCTTGAGAACTCATAGCAGGACAAGATCTTAAAATTGTTCTTGGCTTATCAATAGGTCGCTTGTATGTTTCCATTGCCATCGAATCAAATTGGACAAAATAAGTGGGCAGTTTTAGACCCAAAGTAAGACAAGTGGGTATGCAACGCACAAGCAAAGAGAAAATTAAAAGCTGCCAAGAATTGCCGTGGACAACATTTGAGACCGCCTTCATTGCATTAGCAGTCAAATACTCTCAAATTTGGCAGCTGAGGCAACTGCGAGAGCTCCTACCTTCATTTTGAAGATCAGCAGACATAACTTGTGTCGAGGTAAAGACGGGATTTAATGACCAGAGATAAGGGAACCTAGTACTGCTGCCCTGATGAATTGGGTAAAATATTAGCCTGCAAGGAAAGTTGTGGTGCATCAAACAGCAGAAAGGAATACAATCTGTGAAGTTATGATTATACCTCATGAGCTTGTTTCTGCTCATCCTTGGAAGCATTCTCAAGGGCTTTATCCACCAGTTTCATCAACTTTAATGTGTAGTCATGAAACTCTGGGCTCCCCCATCTCTTGACTGTACTAATAAGCTCAAACGGCGTTTTAGCGTCTTTCTCCAGGCACGACATAAAGCTGACGCAGTACACCAACTCGATGAGCCAGAAAGCAGATATTGCAACTGTGAATGGAGTGTCGCTGCCCTCCAACTGCTTCAGAAATCTGGTTGTCAAGAGGCAATTAAGACCAGCTATAGAAAATCAGGTTTGAAAACGAAAACGCGACATTTAATCTAATTACAAATTTGCAGAAATGAATGAAATTGACTCCTAGAAAATTTTGGTAGGAAATAGGATGGCGGAAAGCGCGATGTAAAAGCGGCTGCCTCACGCGCAGTAGTCCTTGTTCGGTTGAAGAAGCGTCACTCTCTCCAGAAAGATTTGCCAAAAATTTGCCTCCTTGCGAAACCACGTAATTTCGCTCTCCAGAGCCGTGATTCCTCCCAGAATGATATCCACGTCGCATTCTGGTGAATCTCGAGGCATTTTCACCAACACACTCGCGACGAAGCGAACAAACTCCCTTACGAAGTGGTAGTCTTGTTCCTGAATGACAAGAATACAGAGCACACAACTTGTACATGAGTTCGGATTTCTAATCCACTTCAAATTCGACATGCTAAACCCTGCTTCCTACACTCACACCAAATCAATCAAGAAAATTTAAATTTTAAAAATGACACTAAGGCAGATTTTAAAAAATACAAATTCTCACCATCCAAAGCTTAAAATTTTGGGCATCGATGGAGCCATCTCGAATACTCGCAATGAAGCTGTGGTTAGTGGCAGCCGAGTAGAGATCGTGGTTCTGTTTCAAAAAATCCGCTGTAAACGACCCTGCCTCCATATAGCCCAATATTTTGCAATTCCTTAAGCGCTATCGCTACCAGATTACTCAGACACAAGACTTCGGAATTGAAATCCTCCTAGCTCACGGAACATTCGCCAAGATCATATATTTTTTACAACCCACAATCTGAAACTGCATTTGAATACTGCTAATGCAATCGTCAACTGAGCACACAAGGGGAATCTCTACGAACGGTCCACCTCGTCTCATGCCCGAGATTGATGACGTAGATGTTACACGTAGATGATACACGTGGAGTTGGAGTAGATGATACACGTAGATGATACACATGAAGAAGAATAACGAGCCCTCGTGACTTTCATTGATTCTGCCCTAATCCCTGCATGCTTATTCTTAGTTCATGTTCCCTAAACCTGGTGCTTGCAAGAGTAGGAGGATAAATCGGAGTGAAATTCATAAAGAATTGAGAAAACAATAGTAGTAGAGCCACTACACAAAGGCAATTTTCAAAAAGGCTCAAGCTACATGCACTCTAAGTTGCTACATGCACACTTCATATTGCTGTATGCATTTTCAAAAAACATTGGAGGTTTTGATTGGTTGAGTGTTGTTCTATTGACCTTGTCACCTAACACAACTACTGACTGATTAGGAGGTGGCAGCCCCTCCTCTGGTAGTCTTGTTGATTGGTTAGTGAGTAGCATCAAGGAGCCTTTAAGAGAGAGCCTTGAGGAAAAACAATTTTAAATCTGTACTTTGTCTCAACAATGTTTTTACTAATTTTCAAACATCACTAAACCACAAACTAGAAGTTGGTATAATTCTAATCAAACTTTAACCAATTCAAAGTAAATTTAAAAGAAATTACAAAAAAAACACAAATAAATCATAAATTAATTTTAAAAAATAATAATAAAGAAATATTTAAAAATACATAAAAATATAACCTTAAAGAAATAAAATTAAGCTTAAAAAAATATTAATTTTTTTTAAAGAAATAACAAAAAACCATAAAAAATATTAAAAATAAAAATCCTAAATAAATCTTAAGTAAATCTTAATCAAATCTTAATTTATTCCTAATTAAAATCTTTATAAATCTTAACCAAATTTTAGGTCAAATCCTAATTAAACCTTCATTGAAATCTTAATTAAAACCTTAATGAACCTTGACCAAATCCTAGGTCAAACCCTAATTAAATGTCAAGGATATCAATCTTAAAGAATTAAAAGATCAAAACACTCTTGTATCACTTGAAAAGACTAGATAATCACTCTAAGATGATATGATATTAAATTAGAATGACTATTACCAAAAACAAGAAGACTAAAAAGTCTTGTAATAAGACTAAGGATTAGAAAGGCATTGATATGGGTAAAGAAGACTTCACTCTTGCTTCTATGTATACTATCTAGCTAAGAGATACATAGTAATATTCTATAGGACCTCCAACACATGTTGACTTTGCAAGACATTTGTTAACTTGCAAGACAAGTTTTCTATAGATGCTCCACATAGTTAGCTTATTCTACAAGCTACCAACACATGTGACATGTGGTTAATTTTCGACCAAATTTCTAACCTACCAATCAACTATAAACATGTGTAAAGTCAAAACTATATCAATGAAGCTTCTAAAAAGCTTATCTAGAAGATATTATGAAATTAATCTATTTTTATCTACTTATTCATATATATAATAATTGGAGTAAATACATATATCTGTGATATAACTTCTTCTTTTAGAAGTGAGTTCCATGAAGAGTGGTCATCATCTTTTATGGATCTTACTATTCTTTATTTTAGTTTTCACAAATGCTATCAATGAAAATCCTCAACTTCCTTTGCTATATTTGCAAGATTCTTTTCTCGCTCTCATATAGGTTCACAAATATCATATCCATTCCAATAAATAAGATATTCCAATCTATTTTGACATGGCCTTGAATCTAAGACTTCTTTCACCTTGGATTCTTTATTATTATTCACTTCTAGAAGAAGAGACAACATTTATCTTCTTTTTGATATATCCACTATTTTATATGGCTCAAGAAGAAATATGTGGGATAATGGATGGATATTTATAGACTTTGATAGATATAATCAATATGTAATAAGATTGACCTTGTTCACAAATAGGAAATAGTCCAAGCTTACAGTAATCAAACTTGATACAAGAGCAACTAGTCATAATATTGTGACAAAATAATCATATCTTATTATCAACGTCGAATTGAGGTTGCTTCTTGCAATAAGTATCTACATTAGTCTTTTGTCATTCTTAGGCTTCTTTTAATTTTTTCATAATTTATATATATATAATTCAATTAAAAAAATATATGGCTACTAAAAAGTCATGACGAGCTTAAAAAACACATAATTTTACTTTGCCTTTTAAAATATATAATTATTCCTTGAAATATAATAGGTTATTCTTGAATTCAAATTTAGAAGAATAATAAAATTTGAAAGAATTATTTTTCATATCATAAATAAGAAAATCAAAGGAAATATTTAATTAAACTTGCTTATAAAAGATTGAATTAATAATCAATGTTGATTTTATTGCTCAAAGGTGAAAATGCCTTGGCTTCAAGAAAATCATTCTTTGTTGATCAAAAGATGCATCTCTTTTTTTTGGTGCAATATAAGTATGTCTAAAAAGGTGTTTGATAAACCTTATTTTTTTTTGAGTCAATAAGTGATTTTGAAATCAAATCTTAATAAAGATATGCTCCAACAAGTATAGCAATAATTCAAAATACATGTCAGCATAAAGTACTCAAGACAACTTTTAGATAATTTTGCCATTCTTGAAATGAATCCACAATTGCAAGAAGCTTTTTGTTGCAGGTTTCATAGTTAATCTTGGTTGCTAAAATTTTCTTAGAATAAAAAGCCATTAGATAGAACTTGTTATCTACTCCCATTTTTGACAAAATGGCATTGATAGCAAAGTCTAGTGCATTTATTTCCATAAAGAATACATTGAAAAAACTTATGCAATTCAAAATTGGTACAAAAATAAATATTATTTTCAAGGCTCTAAAAGATGCTTCAACCTCATTGCTCTATTTAAGTTTGTTTTTACATGTTAGATATATGAAAAGAGCCACAACTTAAAAAATTTATTAATGAAGATTTGATAATAATTAGCAAATTACAAAAAATATTGTATATCTTTAATTTTTTTAAGGATCTTCTAATTTGTGATAGTTTAAACCTTCTTAGGATTCATTATAAGATTATTTTTTGTAATTATATATTCTAGAAAGTTATTTTAAGTAGTATAAATATAAAGATATGAATATGAATATTTTGAATATAATGAATATAATATACTTTATATTCAAAATATTCATATTTAATTTAAAGTATAATTTTTTATTTATCTCTTTTTTTAATATATATCAGATTATATGTTCTTTATATATATATATATATATATATATATATATTTAATTCAATTGATCAAGAAGTCTTGAAATCAAAGGTAGAAGATATATATTCTTAATAGTGATCTTATTGAGTTCTCAATAGTCTACATATACCTATAGAGACCTATCTTTTTTCTTCAAAAATAAGATAGGAGCTTTGACTAGAAATTTAGAATGGTATATGAATTTTTTAGCCAAATTCTCATCAATGTACTCTTTGAATGTAGCCAACTAATTCTATAATAGACTATAAATTGATCCAAATGGTAGTTGAGCTCATTCTTGAAATTAATGAAACAATCATAGAGATGATGCTCTAGAAGAATATAAGCATTCTTCTTTTTAAAATTGTCTTGATAATCTTCATACTTATTTGGAATGCCACTTAAGATCTTTTTTTTCATTAATAATAGGTATGGCATATATAATAAAAATTGACATTTTTTTTGCAGCATACATGAAAGCTCTCACACTTATCAATAATAGTTTGGATATATTGATTTGATAGATTTCTACTTACCTAGCAAAATCTTAGGCTTAACTTTAGGAAAAATTAAGGTTATGAAAAATCCAATCTATTTGAAAGTTATACTTTTTAGCCATGATAATCCTAAAATAATTGAATTAGAAGAGGATCTAATCACATTAAATATCACTCAACTATTATGACCACTAGTTGCTACATCTTAAGATACAATTTCATAAGTAACATCTCTATAAGTCAATAAATGACCATCTATTATTTCTATATGTAAAAGTTTGGTTTTCTTAAATAAAGATATATCTTATTTTTTGACAAAGTCTTTATTTATAAAAACAAGCTAAGGCTCCTAATTCTAATAAGACTAAATCTTAGTGATTTTTTGATTCTAGATAAAATTTTATTATATAACAAGGTAAATGATTTGAAAAGAGAATATGACCTCTACAAGATATTATACAAGATTCCAACTACTTGGTTTCTATTAAAGATAAAAAAAACTTATTTTTCAATATCTTGTCTTCTTTTGCAACCATTTTCTTTATTTCATGATTGTTTTGCTTCTTTGAGCAATGTGGAATAGTGTGCTTGGACTCTGTATAATATAGATATAAACCTTCTTAACAACAATGAATCTTTCTTTACTTAATAAAAAATTTAAAATATATTATGTCAATTTACATAAGCTTTGGCTTAGACGAGTAAACTTCCAAAAATTTAGAAAATGTTACTATAGCTTAATTTGTACTTCTCCAATCAAAACTTTATTTTTGATATCTTTTAAAGAATTAGTTGTTGTATGCAATGGCATAAGCAATAAATTTCTCTGATGAATCTACTCTCAATATTGTTAAAAATAAATCTTTGATATTATCTTTCAATCCATATCAAAATTGATTAATAAAGATTTTGTCATTCTAATCCACATTGCAAGTAAGATTTTAGAATTTAATAGCATATATGGTGGCTATATATGATCCTTGTCATAATAATATGCGCTTAGTCTTTGATATTCTTTTATAATTATTTTTTCTAAATATAGCTATAAATACTTTTAAGAATAAATTCAAATCATAGATTATTCATGAATCTTTTTTCATCAAAGATGAAATTAAAGAAAAAAAAAAAAAAAAAAAAAAAAAAAAAACACTTTCAGATAGAAATACATCTATGAATTCAGCTTGAGTAAATCCATCTAGGTATTAGAAATGATTCAATCTTAAATAGAGCTTAATTTATTACAAAAATCCTTAAAATTTTGATCTTGTACCATCAAACTTCTCAAGCATACTAATCCTTACATTTC